AACACACGGTCACCAGACGGAATACAAACAAAGGAACAACTAACAGTAAGAAAGAAACATTTAGAAGAAATGATTAAGAATATCTCTGATTAATTTATTTTTCTAAATAATTAATATACTATGATTAAATCAATGAATAGATTGAATACAGTAGGACCGGTAAAAGTAGGGTCATTGAAATCACAATTACATTTGAGACCTTCTTATGTTGAATTATTGAAAGAAACATTAGTAGGAGATGAGAACCGTCCATCAATTGAAAATGTAATAGACAGAAAAGCAACCAGATACAGATTAAATCAATACGGTAGCCAGTTTGATAATAAAGATGCTTTGGATACTCAGAAGAAACAAGAACTGAACAGAAGAGAAGAAGTTATGAAAGAAGCGTCGTCGGACGGTGGTAGTGTAAGATCTAAACTTGATGACACACTGAAACAACAGCAGTCTTTCATTAATGAAAGATTGGCGGAAGCAAACAAACAGAAAGAAGAACTTGCTGAAAAAATGAGACTTTGGAGAGAACAACACGAAGAAATGGCAAGTGCTGTTTCAAAACAATCAATACCAGAAGGTGTAGAAATTCATTCAATGGTGTCCGCTGATGAAATGCCAGAATTAGAACCATTAGAGGAAGGGGAAGAAGAAGATGAACGTGAAAACGACCCTGTAGTTGAAGTAGAAGCATTGAAAAAAGGTAAGGATGATGACGATGACGCGCAAACAACCATTACTAATGCTGAGATAATGGAAATGCAAGAACAAGCAAACGAAATGGAATTACAAAATGTTGAAAATGAAGATGTTGATGATGAACGAATTTTCAAAAATTATTTAAGTGGTATAAAGTGGATGTGGCCGGTATATTTAGCAAAAAATCCAAGAAGTTTAATGGATAGTATAATTTCAAAACTACATCAATTCAATGTAATTAACGCTGTTAAATATGATGAGTTCAAAGAATTATTAGATGAATATAACAATACAACAGGAGTAGATAGAAACGCAGTGAAGGTTAAACTACAAAAATATTATGAGGACAATGTTTATAATAAATACTTCGTCCATAAAGCAACCCAACAATAAATAATCTATAATATTTAATATGACTGATAAATATTATGGATTAAGACGACGCCCTACATTTGATGAAATGCTGAAAGAAGCGATGACACACAGATTAAAAATTGAAATTATCCCTGAAAGACAGACATTTGACAAATCAATTAATAATATAGACTTTGATGATTTTGATCTTTCAAAATACGATAGGAGACTACGATTGAATGCTAGGGTTCAAACTGATAAACAAGTTCTTCAACATGAATTGTTCCCTGATATGTTTGATGAAGTAGCACCAACATCACAGTTATATGAAAACAACGAGGCAGACGTACAAACAACACGATATGTAGCAAAATATTTTGCTGATGAAATTTATAGCAATGCAATTTCAGGACCAAACGATGAACCAAAAGATGAACCAAAAGATGAACCAAAAGATGAAAAGCAGGAAGATTTACAAAGTCTTCATTTAACATCATCATCGTCATCAGCATCAACCGAAAAAGATAAGAAAGAGGAAAGCCGAGAAATAAAATCGTTAAGAAACATATTTTTAGGTGGAGAAGACAAGAGCGTATTTGAACTATTCAAACGTGACAAGAAGACATCCACACCGTCCATTCAATCCGAAGAACAAGAAGAACAACCAAGGGCATCATTCTGGACAAGACGACAGGTAGAAGCAAGAAGCAGAAGTCACTCACCAGAAGAAAGAGCAAGAGGCAGACAATGGGGTATAAGACAAATGGAAACGAGAAGCAGAAGTCGGTCACCTGAAGAAATAGCAAGAGGTAGTGAATGGACGAGGGAACAAATGGAAACAAGAAGCAGGAGCAGAAGCCCAGAAAGCGCTGACACAAAAAGTAGCAGAGGCAAGAAGAAAAAATAAAACTACTTAAAGAAATGACCCCTTAATATATTAAGGAAAAAAAATGAATAAGCGTATCAGAGAAGAATTGACAAAAGAAATTGTAAAATGCCGTGGTTGTAAGATATACAACAACAAAGTCAAAAAAGCAAATGACATATTTCCTGACTGTATCATTGATAATATTTTGAGTTTTGTATGTTGTAAAAGATGCACCATTACAAAACATTTAATGAAAAACGAACCTGACAATTTAAAAGAAATGGATAAGTGGATTTGGTATATGACGAGGTTAAATAAATGTCCAACGAAAAAATCATTACGGACAATATTTACAACTGGTTTAGACAAAACATTAAAAGAGTATGGATATGACAATAGGCTAATCTTGTATTATGAAACCGCTACTCAATTTCATTATAATTTACTTTTTCATAATAATGATGTTTATGTATCTTGTAAAAAATTTAGCATTTCAATGTGTAGAGATTTTCTTAAAATGTTGAAATGGCAATATATAGAAAACAAAGACAAAGTCGTTTATAAAAACATTTTTGATAATGAGTTTTACCATAAATTCGTTTGTCATTTGTTAGAAAAGAAAAGGTTGATTATAGACTGGTTTAATTATAGAGATTTATGATCAAGTTTATTCATATTATTTAACTATAATATGATTAAACTACCTTAAAGTCAAATATATACTTAAAGAAACAAGACCTTAATATATTAAGAGAAAATGACTAACTTACCTGTTGAAGTATTAAAAAGTATCATTTCATATAAATTAGGAGAACCTGAGTATTTGAAAATAAAACATAATCATATTAAGACATTAAAGAGAATACAAAATCGTTATAAAATAAACAGAACTGAAACAAAAATAAAGACCAAGCACTATACTGTTGAAGATAGTTATGATATAAAGAGACACGTAATTAAGTATTGCATTTCTAGAAATATACCTTTAAGCATTAAAAGCATTGAAAATATACTTTTTAATGAAAATGAAAACTTAGATTGTTTGTTAGATGACATTGAAACCGATGAAGGTTATGAAGCAACGATAATAGTTATGATAGATATGTTTGTAAGATTTCATCATTTCAATTATTATGAAGACGATGAATTTAGCACTTTTACTTTAAATTTTCATAGTGATGATGTTGTAGATAATATAACCATAGATAATATAGCTGATGTAATGAGAGCGGCGCATCAACAAATATACAGTTGTATTGATGATGAAAGAAGTAGAATGAATTTTGAAGGTTTAAAAAGCATAAGGTTTAAACTAATTGTTGATGAACCTGTGTAATTCAGTCAGTTTATTCATATTATTATCTTATAATACGATTAAATTCTTCAATCCCCCAGAAAGCTTAAAAATGGTCTGAAACCCGAACCTTGAAAATGTCAATATCTTAGACTGTTTCATAATGAAAAAATTGTAAAAAAATGTTGAGAAAAATAGTTAAAAGAGTATGGAGTATAGAGTATATGGAGGAACATAATACGACAAATGAAAAGGAAACTAAACATAAGCAATATGATTGTCCTTGCTGTAAAATAATGATAGGACTTCATAATAGAGCGAGGCACGAAAGAACAAAACGACACAAGGACAATTTAATAACTGTTAAGGAAGAAACACAGACAGAAGAACCAAAGACAGAAAAACAATTAAATGTAGAACCAGTTAATGATATTTTTGAACGGCTTGAATATATGACAATGATTGGTGGTGATTGTTTTTAATGTTATTATTTCAATATAATATGATTAAAACTATTTTTTTTTATAGAGTTAGTCATCTGTTGCAGTACTATTTTTTGGGGGTGAAAAATGTTGAAATGAATAAGGTGTTTAATTACTCTATACTCTATTATTTTACAAATTCCGGGGTTTAAAAAAACGAATAAGGTAAAATTAATTACCTCATTGAAAAACTGTAAATAATGAATAAGGTTGCCATTGCTTGACTTATTGAAAATGAAAAAATTGTAAAATATATATTCAAAACAGCACAGGCGAGCAAATACTGAACAAATGATAAAACAAATAAGTCGGACAACTCCCTAGAAATGTTAGGAGAAAATATTAAAAAATGTGAAAAAACAAAGCAACCGGCCACCCCCAGGGCCCCTATTATAACCATTTTTTTTTGGGGGGGGGGGGGCGAAAACAAGCCACTCCCATATGCCACTCATGGAAATATTCAGGCTTAGGGCAGACTTCCCGTTTTGATGTCTCAACAAGGCCTTTTTCTGGGGCTCTTAAGCTTGCAGTACTCGTACTCTGGGCTCATCCAAACATCAATCCAGGGGCCCGTGAGCGTATCAAGCTGCGAATATTGTTTCATCTTGTTGCTTTCTGCAAGCAGCTCGAACAAACAACTCCATGCGTCTCAGAATTGCGGCAAAGAAGTTGACGGCAATCTGCCCAAGGGAAAAGGTGCTAATTCACCAGCAGCTTTTCACCAACCGAGTTTTGGAACGCCCTCCCCAGGGTTCACGTAGTCAGTGCAAACCAGAACACAGTTGGACACCTCAACATGAGGTGCAACCAATCCATCTACCTCTATGGCGCAAAACCATGGGTGAAATCGGAGTCCATCGGGCCAGGATGAACTGAGAAAGCTGAGGGAAAGGAGCGTGACAATCGTCGCTTCCATCGTTGAGCAGTATGTTACTAGCAGTGCGACTACTGCAATTGAAACAAGAGGCACCTTAAGGGGAGCATTGTAGCTAGTGACTCTCACATCTGCTCTCAGCGACTAACAGTGACTGATAGTAACTATCTGGGGCCATTAAGGGCCAGTAGCCGTCTTGACGTTCCCCTCGTTGCCCTTGCTGCTCTGAATCAGAATTGACAGCGGTACAAACATACATGTATGTGACATATATATATATATATATGCACATCACAATGGTATCTGATATACAATGTTGTGTACTGTACGTACATTTACAAATACGCGCATACAATCGTGTACATGCTTTGTGTATCTTGCTTATTGCTCTTACCCGGTCGATCATCCAAGCAAGCTTCCCCCTGAGTCGCGCGCACCGCTCGCGCTTCCACCGCTTGCGCTTCCGCTTTCGCTCCTTGAGCCGCACCGGCCGGAGTGTGGCATGGCAAACCAGTGGACGTCCATGGGAAGCAATGGGCGCCCTTGATTTGGGTTGAGTTGAAAGGGAAGGCTCGCATGTCCGAAAGGGATCCATTAAGTTAAACCCTTTGCAAAGCGTGTACCCATGGTCGTTTCAGCATGGCGATCCTCAGTTGTTTAGGCACGCGAGGTGGGGGGGCCGTGTGCCCTCAACAGTGGGTCTTGCCGCCGAGCAAGCCCTGAACTGAGACGACAAACTGACGCCATAATTAGACAACGGCGAGCAGCCATCAAGTGCCATCGGCGTCTCGTGAGCCTTGCTTGAATGGGTTGGGGGTGGTAAGATGAGGGCTGTGGAGGCTTGCCAGGGGCTTTGGGGGGGTTGCGCAATTGGTTGCACCCTTCAAACACTGGAAAAGCACAGCTTGGAGGCAGTGAAAATGTAGTCCAACAGATCTATCCCGTCCTGCTCGAATCCGAAAGCTGCTCCTCCTGAGGCATACCGAACCGACAGGAATTGGATCGACAAGCCGTGTTGTGGCGCCAAATGAGTTCACAAACGGCTCCATCCTCAGCTGGGGTGTCAAAACCTATTGGAGACCTGCAACTGGGGGCTGGCTGCAAAATTGTTTTGATGTAGCATCGGACATCTTTCTGCAGCGATCCATTTCCAAGCTTATTAGCTTCGTGGGGCCCGAGCATGGCAAACGCTCCTCTGAATCGGGAGCGCCCGACTGCTGTTGGGCTATTTGAGGCCCATGGCACCCGTTTGCCTGAGAGACTTGGCTGTGGAAATCGGCTTTGGTCAAGGAATCAGGGCTGGTGAGTATGTCCAAAAGTAGGGATCTCAAAAATGGGCGGCTTCCTGTTGCTTGTGAGCAACAAGGTCCCCTTTCTCACAGTAAAACATCCCTGTCCACACGAAATGAGATTCGAACACGCCGCAAATTGGTGCCTGGGATATGTTTACCCAATTGGCAACCATCACAGCCAACACTTTGTGTAGCCGCCTCAGGGTCCATCGACATGCGCCCATATCATTTGTGAGCTGCTCACAGGGAAGAACGAGCTACTGTACGCAACATCCCCGGACAGCCCTTTCCCTTGCCATCCTTCATCCTCCGCCGGCAGCGCCGATTCGCCATGAGCGTCTCTCGGAAGGAGGCCCTCAAATGCCCTGGGCAATGGCGACGTGTGCAGGTTGGACACCTTTGAACCTTTGAACCGCTTTGGAACCCCCCTTTGGAACCCCCCTTTGGAACACCCCTTTGGAACGATCTCTTTGGGCTTAGTCTTGAGAAAACCAACTCGGGGGATGCTACCCCTCACGTTCGGCAGGTGACTCGATTCTCAGATTCCATTGGCGCACCTGAAAAGTGGCCAGGGCTCGCCATGGTTGGTCCGCCGCAAGTTGAGATCTCCAATTCAATAATGTGGACCCCGGATTCATGAGCCCGGTGGGATAAAAGGAGGCGCTGCCCCCAAGAAAAGTGAAGGATCCCTTGTCAACTGACACACCCCGTGGCTGATTGGGTCCAAATGACCAAGATGGGCAGGAGATATGAATGACAGACTGAAAGTTCACACAGAGCGCCAAAATGGCACATGCGTCTCATTTTCTGAAGGAAGGATCTCTGGAAAGAGTGGAGGAAGGTACAACTAGAACGAGCAATGTCCCACTGACCCTGGTGGAAAAGGCTTGGGGTTGATCCAACTTCAGAGGGAAATTGAAACCCCCAAACAGAAATGAGCTTTACGCCACTGAACAACTGGGTCCCTTCTGCTTCTTTTCTCAACTTGTTCCCCTCGCCCAAAACAATGCAGGCACAACCCTTCCTGGCACTACACGGGCTAGAGTGACGTCTTGCGGTTCGTTTTGGCTCCAATAAGCCATGAGAATACAAGACGAATGCCAGTTAGTTAGCTCATCTCACCTTTCGCCCACACGCCCCAGGCCTGCAGCTGCGGATGAGATAAGACAGGCCTACCGAGTGGGCGACTGGCGACTGCCCAGGATGGCTCCAAAAACCTTGGAGTTCAAGGGTAGACATTTGCCTGGTCAAGGGAAACTACAGGAAACTGAACCTATCTGCTTCGTCAAGCAGAATCAACCAGGGCCAAGGGATCAAGGAAGATCCTTCACCAGCCTCGCAAGGTTGCGAGTTGCTTCCTCATAATTTTGGCTAAAACATGCTGAATCGCGCCCTTCAAAGCAACCCCGCCAGGCCTTCTCTTGCAAACCAAGCTCGGACCTCGAATCGTTTTAAACTTTTGAGGCCTGTTTCAGGAAAGTGGGCTTTCCATCATGACTGCCTTGTCACTTTCGAAGTCTCCCCACTTGTTGCCGGACCAATCAGACACGTTTCACCACAGGCGCATTCGGCCAGCAAAGTCTTGCTGCTGGAAGTCTCCAACCTCTTTTTTATGGGGCAACGCTACCACACCCAGAAGACATCTTCGCTTTTTGGGGTGCCAAGCATGTTTCTGGGCAAATGACTCAGAACCACACAAAAAAAAGGAAAACATCCCAAGGACGGGACCTCATGCGTCAGCTCGTTTTACCCTCCGGCGAGCTCGTTGCAAATTGACGCATTTTGTCCAACTCACCGTCGAACAAACCACGGCACCGTGATCCTCCGACTCCAAGCCTTCAATCAGCAGGCTTTTGTAAACCCCCCAAAAGAAAAAAAGGCCAATCCAATGCCCGTCCCGCCTGCGGCCGCCGATCCATCAGCTGGTGCTCCTGCAAGAAGTCCCGCCAGGCCCCAAAGGGCTCCGCTTTCAGCGCCCTCAGGGTGGAAGCCTCCTGTCGAAACGCACGCGGAAGGGGGGAGCGGAAGTGGAGGCGGAAACAAAGGGAGTTGTCGAACCTTACAATATGTTAAGCAACTCCAAAAGAGTGCGGTCTTGCAGCTAACGCAGCGGACTTTGTGGAAGCGGTGGATACCAAATCATACAGCTTTGGAGTTTGGGCGCGCACTGACTGCGACAAACTGGGTGATCAGTACGCACGGATCTGTCAACAAATCCGGGTCCGATCGTCTTACCTTTCAAAACCGACTTGGATGCTGCCAACTCAGCCACAAAAGGAACAAGCAACCCACAAAGTGAGTCAAGCCATGCTCCCCTGCAGACTCACATGGGATCTAAAAATGAGGTTCTTGTAGATTCCATGTCAATCTCCAGAGAACTTCGGAGCGCATCACCAAGCGCCCAGGCAGTCCTTGTCGAGGTACCACTGCAGAGTGCTGCCCGTACAGGCATTGGGCACCGGCAGCACTGACACCTACAAGCACTGTGAAGCTGTGAAGGATCTGGGGGTTGGACCCAACCCTTCAAGGCCCAACTGGCCGGAGGTGCAAACTGCTACAATCCACAAGCTAGAAAAGAGAGATCCCCATGTAAATCAACAATCCCAGACCCCCCCCTCTGAAAGGAGACATCCCAAAATCACAAGTCCATCAAAGTGGCGATTTCCTTTTCCAATCAGAACCCAAACCCAGCCCCTTCCCTTCCCTTGCACCCAGTGACCCTGGTAAAGAAAGAGGCACCTTTTTTGGGGTTCACCAATTCTACGTGCAGAAGCCGCCAAACCAAAATCAAAATATGGTCACACCCCCGCCCCACCCCCAGCCCCTCCCACCGCCCAGACGCCCCTCTTACCTCCAGGCCCGGCTCGTCGCAGGCCAGGCGGAACAGATGCCCCGCCCGCTCCGCGTGGAACTCGCTGGTGACCACCGCCAGCTGCAGCGGCAAGAGAGGTTTCAGCACCTCCCGCGCCATCAGCGCCTCCGGCGATGCAAAAGCATCGGCAACCCGACCACTTCCCCCGTGTCCGGCTCCAACCACCCCTTTCCCCCTAACCGTTAGCCCCCCTTTTCACCGTTTCACCAGGGAAGTCTGGTCTCCTTTGAATCCAACAAACTGCCCATATGTCCTCGATATTCCTCGAAACCCAACAACTAAAATGACGGTCTGTTGCTGCCAGCAAACAGCATCCCCATTCTGCCAAATGAGGGTCACCCGAGTAAACCCGAAACAAGTTGAGTCACCTGGGATTCGGTGAAGAGGCTTGATTAGAGAGGGGTTGCTTCTTTCGAAGGTCAAAGGCGGGTTGATTCCTAGGTCGCTCTGCTGACCTGCCAGTGTTTCCTTCAGTGGTCGACTCTCTGCCTGAGACTACTGGAACCCCAAAGCGCCACACGCCAGCTGGGGGCCGAATTAGATTTTGAGTGTAACCCTCCAAATTCTAAAGCCGAAGAATTTGAGGGCATAGCTGGGAACCGCGGAAAACTACCAGGCGCACAGCATCATACCACAAACGCTCTACAAACAATCAATAATGGGAAGGGCCCCCAGGTGTTTCAGGGAATCCGTCTCACTGTTTCGGCAAAGGACCTCATTTACGCCAGGGAGGCACTGGAAGACCATTTTCCATTAGGCACCTTGTGGCTTCCATGGGATAAGTCGTTCTGGGTCCGTTGCAGCGACTGCAATGTGATCACTTCAAGGGTCCCAATTTCTTCGGAAATGGAACCCTTTCTTGGAGCTTGGAGGGTAACACCCAAGGAGCCCCAGTTCAGGGCTCCCTAGAGGTCCCCTTAAAACATCACAACCAAAGGACGCTGATGCAAACTGGGCCCAAGAGCTGATGTTTTCAACACCACCAGCAAGGGGACATCATAGGATTCGAACCGCTGGGAGTCTTCTGCAAATCGTCGCCTCGTCCACGGTGTGCAAGGCGGGCAGCCCCGGCAGCATCACCTCCTCCGGCACTTGCAGAGCCAACAGCTCCTGCTGCACGTAGCGCCAGTGCCTGGGCAGCGAGCCCCGCGCATAACTTGGGGGGCCCCTGTGGAAAGCATGTTGGGTGACCCGCCTGAGTTCCAGGAAGCGGGTGGGGTGTCCTGTGGTGCAAACTGAGATCTTCGTTTTCTTAGAACCCATTTAGGATGCTCCTGACCAATGCTGGCTAGCATGTGTTGCTGAGCAGGACCCGACGGGTTGTAGGAAACGGGTGGGGTTCTCCTTTGGTGCAAGCTAAAAAATCGTTTATTAGAACCCGTTTAGGATGCTTCTGAGCATCAAATTGTTTAGTCCTTGGCGAACAAAATCAATGATAGCATGTGTTGTGTCTTTTTGAGCTTGGCTGAATTGGTCTGATCTGATGGTTTTAATTCAGCTTACTGCCACTGGTTTGAGTTCTGTCTTCTAAGCGGAATTCGTCCAGTTTTCTTACTAAGGCTATTTGAGCCTTACCTAGGCTTTATTGCCAGGGAGTGTCAGGGAGGAGCCTCTTTCAAAGGAAACAATGTATTTTCTGGACTCCTGGCGTTTGACTATGGTTGACTAACCAAAATGATCAAAATACTCGTTCCAACAGTCGTGGGACATCACATTTGCCGCTGGACTGAGAAGATACTCATTGAATGGTGCTTGCTCGGTCCCGGCCAGCCTCAAAGTGAACATCCGTCTCAAAGATATGGCAATGGCATCGCCCTATTCTACCAAGGCGACATGAAATCGCAAATATGGGGTTGCATTGATTCAATTTTGCTCAGCGTAACTTCGATGTCAACAATAGGCAATGATTGATGCAATAATCAGTGGACATGCGATAGAACAAACCGTTCCAACTTCACAACTGGGTGAAATTCCCAGTCCACTGTCGACTGAGGGTGCTGCAGCAATTGAATCTTCGGCTCGGGGGTCTCAAATCAGGAGAACCTCCCTGCAATGCTTCCCCGTCTTTCCCCTTTGCCAATTTGCCATCTTGGGGAGGTCCCAACTCAAAACTCAGGAGGTGAATTGGCGCCAAGGCCTAGCAACCCCCAAGTCCACAAAATCCCCCTCCAAGCCTGCCTCAGCGTTTGCCCCAACCAGACAAAACAGTCTCTGGTCCATATTTAGTGAACCGTAAAGTGCAAAACCAAAGGAGATCCCAGAAACCCCCACCCAAATCTTGCCCAAATCTTGCACATCTGGGGTTCACAGAAAATACATTTCTCTGGCATATGTTTGTTAGAGGAGCCCCCAGAACTCCGGAACCCTCTGCCCGTGGCGTCACGGCGCGGCGTGGCCGTGCGATTGAAGAAGCGGTCCGGGTCGCTGCCGCCCGACGCCAGCACCAAAACCTCCTCACGCCAAAAAACGAGCGCGGCGGATGGCGCCTGTTGCGCCTTTTGCCAGACCTTCCGAACCAGTGGCGTGGCCAGAAACAAAAAAGGTGATATCCCCAACAGCGCATGCATCCCCAAACCTTACCTGGGCTGAGACACCTTAGCGTTCAGCTGTTGGGGGCAAAAGAGACTAAAGTCTACCAACAGAACTTGGACCAAAAGTTGTTTGTCTGCCCAAATGGCCCTCAGAGTCTGAAATCGGTCATTACCGCAACGAGTTTATCGCCCAGGAGGTTCCCTGCAGAAAGTGACACTCCAAAGCCCTTCCCATGGCTTGGGGCGTGCCACACGTGCAAACAATATAAGGTTTCAAGCTAAGTGCTTTTGCAATTTTCTCCTCCCGACCCTTTTTGAGCCATTTGATTGCCTGGGGCGTAGTCTGAAGAAAAGCTCAACCCATCCGGGCTGCGCGTTTCGAGGCATAACAGAGGGTGATGACCATGATGACCCAACTACTCGCGCACCGGACCCCTTTTCAGGCCGAGACACGTTCTTGGCAGTTTTGCATGGGCGAAAATACATAGTACTGCACAGTACTGCAGAGGATCTGGACCACCAAACCAGTACAAATGAACGTGTGCAGCTCGGGGATGCAACGCCGGACAACAATGACTGGAGGTCCCCGGAAAGCAATGCTCAAAATCAAGGGCCCTCCCAAATGGTTGGTTTCTTTTTGCTTAAGGTTGACACCAAAAACAGGTCCCAGAAAGGTTGAAGAATGATGGGATGAGGAAAATGGTGGCCAGTGAGGCAATGAAGGGTTGAAAGGTTGAAAAATAAGCCCAGTTTTCTTTCTTCCAGTCAAATGGTTGGAGCTCGGGTCGCCTGCTTGACTATTGACCCGCTGCACCCTCGTGGGAGAGCCAGGTTCCCACCTGAAAGTCTACCAAATCAACCAACTGGAAGAAAAATAGAAGAGGTGTCAAAACAGGTCGTAAACCGCATCGAGCCAAGCGTCGGAGAGATCCCCCCTTCCGAAATGCTCGGCAACAGAATCCGCTATCTATGAGTTTCCTGATGCCAGAAATACATGGATCCGCTTCAATCTTGCACCGATGGAGCTATTGAAGTCTAAAAAAGATGCGAACAACAAAGCAGACCGCTAGCCCAACCCCTCCAGCCAAAGAACAACATGCATCAGCAGGAAAGTCCGTAAAACAGGCCCAGGCGGACTGAAATCCCCCGAAAGGGCATATCTCCAAAACCAGCATGGAGGTTCCAACAACCTGCAAACCCCTCCTCCCACCCACCACCCCTCCTTCCCTCCCCCTCCCCCCCTCCTCCGTCCCCCCCTCCCCCTTCCTCCCTGCCTTGGACCCATCGAGCTGCCGCCACAACGCCGCCACCCGCTTGGCCCTTTGCTTCACCTCGCCGTCCACCGCGCCGCGGTCGTCGTTGGTGGAGCCCAGCTGGAGGATTACCACCCGCCCTGGCGAGCCGCGCGCATTATTTTCCTTGGCTCGAACTAGGACCCCAGCAAATATATACATATATACTGTATATGGGGGCTGTTCAAAATAAAAGTTCCTGGAAACGGCCCTTTCGCCGGCCTTTCGCGGTCCTTTCGCGGCCCCGTGTTTTCCTTTCGCGGTGACAAACCAGTCCTGAAAAACTTGTTTCCGAGCCCAAACGAGGGTTCTACCACGTATTCGTTATGTTTCAAGTCCTTTCGCGTTCCTTTCGCCGGCCTTTCGCGATGCAGTGTTTTCCTTTCGCGCTAGACCTTCAGAACCTCCCTTACTTAATTTTTAAGACTGGCAATTTAGAACGACTCCCATATATATATATATATATTTATATATTTATATATATATATATAAATATATATTTGCCTGGTTAGTGGAAAACAAAGGGGACCCCAACAAAGCAAAAAAATAGACAAGGGGAACTAATTCTGGAGAAGTTTGTAGGATTTCACTGAGTTGGCTGTGGGTCCAAAAAAGACGCACCAAAATGGCACCTTGGCAAATGGAACCAAAGACCAAAACCTGAGTAACCCCAGTTGTTTGATTTTGAGCCACACCCAGTTGAACACTCCAACACAAAAGTCATAGCGAAGGAATGGGCCAAAGGGTTTTGCCCAGTGACAAGCTGGGCCAGACGAATTGATCCCACCCCTCGCAAAAAGTGATTCATAAGTGATGTGATTCAAAACAAGAAAGCAACACGTCAGTCTGGCAACGTGTTGGTTTGAGCGAGTAACCATAGACCAAACTCACAAGGTCAAAAGGCCAGCTTTGACAGAGATATTGCTGGGGTTGATTGGATGTTATGGAGGAATGGGCATCTAACGGACGGACCTCCCTCGGATACAGATCCGGTCGCAGGGATGAAGGGTAGCCTAAACAGCAAATCGGGGAAAGAAAAAAGACATGTTCAAAGGAAACCCACGCCTCTACCGTTTTTGTGGAGAGCGCTGGGCATATGAAACAAGGGGATGAAAAAGACCAAGCGCCTCATCCTGCCTTCGAAACACACAACAAAACAGCTTGAAGGACAATTTTGACATCCCTTCAAGATACACTCCGGCAGAATAACATGGAACCAACACAATCTCTTTTTGGGGATTCCCGTGTTGGGTTCGACGTTCATCAGCAGGGCAGTAGTTGTGCAAAGGGAGGAAGCAAGAGAAAGCTGCACTGTTGGCAGAATGCAGTAAGACAAGCAACCAGAAAACCAAACCTGTAGGATCGCAAACAGGATGAGATGTGACAGTTGAAAATTATCCTTGTCATCGAAACTCGATAAAGACTTGGGGCACGGCCCGAACCCAAAGGCCGGAGGAACTGACTATTTTGCGTCAGCAGTCCGCTCAAAGATGGCGGATCAGAACACTCTGACTACGAGTTGAATTATGAAACTTGCCCGAAGAAGTTCAGGGCACTTGAAGAGTGAAGGGGATGCCCATTTTTGTACCAAAAAAGCTCAATTAACATTGGACTAACTGGAGACTGAACCACTCCAAAAACGGGATCTGTTTACACCAGGGCGGTCAATGCTGCCGCGGAGTGGAAGGCTGGCAGGTTGGGTAGACCCGGTCCACATTTAATTACACATACACACCTTTTGTCGAAGCAAATCCTGTTGGTTTCTCCTTACAGGGGCACCAGAAACTGGTTGTTTCAAGGAAGTTTTGCCAAACATAAACAACTAGGACCTCCCCAATAAGTTCTTGGGCCGAAACAACGCAAGCGAGCATCGAGCCACCAGCCCGGCCTTTGGCAGGCAAAGGATGTCCGCCCACCTGAGGATGAAAGCGTCACACGCACAAAGAACATCAGATGGGTGTGGTTGTCAAAAATAGGGCAACCCAAAAATGGGTTGCCCTGGTACATGGAAAGGCCTAAAACCTGCGGTCCGTAGCCTGGTGGTTGAATTTTGACCCATACCGAGCCTTTGGAAAAGACTGCCTTGTGAGAAGTTGACGACTCGAGCGCCTTTGTCAATATGTGTCCGGATTTGCTTCAAGCACCAGGGAAGACTTGCACGCTCAATTTGTTTGTGGGAATTTGAGTGGGCCCCTACATAGCTGTAATTGCTGTAATTGCGGCAGTTGCGGATGCGGGCAGGAGCCGCGGTTGTGATGGGCAAGGGTTGGAACGGGGCTGCACCTTGGACGGTGCTAGGGCAACATGTGTGAAACTTGTTGCTTGCCCCCATGTCCCAACCGCCCGGCCGTGGTTGGACTTTTTCTGTCAGACCATTCTCCATGTCCCTTCCACGTGACTTTGCAAAAACATGGAACTGCTCAGAACGGCCGCTTTCCTCATGGTCTCCCCTTGTGGTTCCCCTTCATAGTTGTCCCTCCCTCCCAGAACCAACACCTCCCCCTGCCTCTGCGCGGCGCGCCACCTTGAGCTGAGAGCGGCTCACGGTTTGCTTAGGGAAGGTACCGTTTCCTTTTGGTGAAGAAAGGGGACAAGCCCAACATGGCTGTGGGTCAAAACCGTTTTGGTACCATTTTGCTTGGTAGGTGAATTCACCCACCCATTTCATAACCAATGGTACCATTCTGGGGTAGGTGCACCACCCTATTTTAGTGGGGATTGGGATGTTCACTGGGGGTACGATTTGGCTTTTGACCCATGGCCACATGAAGGACAAGTGCCATCTACTTTCACCGAACTGTAGGTGTATCAGTGATCCAAAATTGGCACCCGGTCTTTTTGGGACCTCTTGGGGCCCCTTTACTGCCCATGTAATTTGGTCATTTTGAGGTTCGGAACAACCCTGTTCCAGAGGGCGGTTTTTCCAGGCCCGAATTTTCAGACAAAGATCTCCTTTCTGAATCTGTTAACGGGATCGTCTTTTTTAGCCAGCAAGACCATGTCCATTTCTCGGCCAAACACATCCGGCCCCCTGCCAAACGTGGACTTGCTGCTGGTTCAAAGGGAACACGAAGGACCCCTAAATAGCGAAAGAAGGGCAAGAAGGTTGACTAAGTCCGGCGATGGCTCTAGTTGCACTTCCCCCATTTATTCCAAGCATCCCTACTCAACGTTAAGCCCGAAGCCTAGGATTCTTGCTCTACCGTCACTCGAGCAAAGGGCGAAATTGTTCAAATGGTACCAGGCCTCGGCCCAGTCTCCACAAGCCAACGGATGAACAAAAATCCATGGGGGGGGGGGAGGGGTCAACCGGTCAATGCTTTGAGGGGCTCCTGTTCGGCAGGAGCAAAAAGCGTCGGCTCTCGGGAGCCAGCATCCACGATGTCGTCCAGCAGGCCATTCAGCGCTGAGCGCTTCATGACGCCGGGGCTTCCTGGAGTAGCTCTGGGACAAGTTTCCCCGCAAAGTCTACATGTCCAAAACCTGAAATTACTTGCAGGTGCGATAGGCAGGGAATGAGAATTGGAATGACCCTGATTTAAACCATCCCTATGGTTTTCTTTAAGGCTTTAAGGGAATCCGCAGGTTCATTCCCTGATCCAGCAACGGAAGGGCTCCTCTGAATAAGGGGCTGCAGGTCACTATGGCTGATTGGACAACGCCAAGAAACAACGCTTGGAGTCCTCTGTGTGGTGTGACGGGGAGAAAGGCACAACATCTAACATGCCGTTCAAGCTGCCGTGACTTTGCGAGAACCACGTGTCAAATTAAAAAGCAACCTGGGAGCGGTGCATGTTCTCACTTGCACACTGACTCAGAGCAGCAAGGGGTCATGGAGTCATGACCCTGATGGTGAATGGCATCTCGTGGCCACTAGTCACTATATGTCACTGTTGCGCTGCAATGGCTCCCCAAAGTGCTCTGAACCAGTTGAATCACTCCGGATGACAACTCTTCCCACATCTTGTTTGGGAAAAGGACTATAGTTCAGAAACAGAAACAAGTTAAACAGTTGACCCCCAAGTAGGGAACCTTCGTCATGGGCTGAATTGCTAAGCCCCGAATTTGCCAGCTGATTAGAATTTGCCCATGTACGACACCTCACAGCCAGCATACTGCCGCCTTCAGGTCCATGCGAAAAAACAATTCCTTGTGATACCAAGTTGATTTGCCATGACCACTTTGTCACTTAGGGGATTCCCTTGGTAATTAAGCTGGCAACCCAAAACCCGATTTGCCACGAGTGGCGGTGGCAGCAGTCAGTTGGAAATTCGGATCCGCGCCTGGCTTCCTCAGCGCCCCGTGCAGCAGCAAGCCTGGCTGCTCCCAATGGCCGCGCCCTTACGCGAATTCAGCCCTATCCGAAAGGAGGATGATTGAGCAGCTCAAAAATAGGGTACCCCCCCTCCCCCCAACCCAGAAGAACCGCAAAAAATTGTGAAATGGATCCTGAATCCTGAGCCACACCCTAACAGGGCATGCGGGAGTGTCTTTGGATTCTGTGATTTTCTCTGCCTTCGCACATTCCGTGCAGTGAATGTCTAATGAAGCTCGGTTCCCGCTCTGGTCGAGATTGTGATCAAACACAACAACACTTAGACCGGTTGCATTACTTTTTTGGAGGGGAGACCAACAACAAACGGAATCAAAAATATTGAAAGCAACGCTGGACTGAGTTATGCAGGGCGCTGCTGCAACCTCCGCCGTTCCGGTTCAAGAGCTCCAGGTTGCAAGCCACATCCATCCTCGAAAACCTCGTCTCCAGATCCACAGTGGTAGGGTTGCAAATCCACTTCACCTAGGGAACACTCTCCGTGAGTTACTCGAATCTTCGAAAGGATTCCGGAAGCGGCCTGCATTGCCGGGGTGCCAGTTCACCAAGCTCTCCTGAGCCAAGAACCCTTCTGGCAGCTGGCCCTTTCTTGTGGCAACCCTTGGGAGGGTAAGAACAACCTAAAAGACACCAACCAAATTGGGTTGGTTTAAAGGAACACCTAAAGGAAACCAATGACCAAGTCCAGGAACTGCTATACACATGCGAAAACAACTTGATCGGTGTTAGCAAAGTCCAGGAGTCATCGCAGACATTGCTGCGCTCCCAGAAAAAGAAAAGAAGAAACACAAACAACGGCTTGAAACAACCGACACTGGCCGATTCCGGATGCGAGCCACAGCAGCCGCGTGCCTACCTACAGGCGGATTGCTTCCCTGCCACCCAAAGGAGACAAATTGTGCACGCAGGTGACCTTCTGGGAAAAAAGACCGCCCTGTTTAAATGGAATAAAACCTATCTAAACTAGGGCCGTCTATTTCAAACCAAACTAACCTAAAAACGACACCCATGGTTGTGCAGTGACTCAAACCTATCCATGCGGGCAGTCAATCTTCTCCGTGTCCTTGTTGCTGACGGACTTCCTCACTTTCAGCCCGGACCACCTCGTGCCGCGCCTCTAGCTTCTGAGTGCCTCATGCAAACCCATCATCTCAAACCAGCCATTCCACTGGCTTCGGCGTGCGTCCAACTTGCCAGGGTCCAGCGTTGTTTCCCTCGGACGTAAAACTCCAGGGACTCGCATAGCCCGACACAACTTCGTGGGCTCCGCAGAGGGGAAAACCGAAATGGAACCTCTCGGATTCCTCGGTGGGTGCTTCAAAGTGCAGGATTGGCCAATCCCAAAACCTCCCAAGAAAACCCGCAAAGGGGCCCTTTTCGTAGGGAAGACTTAATTCAGGCCTGCAGTCGCTTTGACCAGCCCAGTTTTTTTGCGCTGTCAGGTTAAACGCCCTCCGAAGCAATCCGAGGCCCGTGCGTAGGCTGTGAGGTTCAGCCCTTCACCCACCACCACCGTGGTATGCGGAAGCCCGCCGCTGAAACTGGCGGAGCCCGGGGATTTCGAGGGGGCCTAGACTTTGGGCTGCAAAAACAGTCACGGGGGCCAGGCCTGGGTTGGTCGACCTCCTGCAAAAAGGGCGCGGGATTTGTAGTTGCTTGTAAGTGGCGAAACAGTCAAGTAAGGTCGTACATGCCCCTTGGCACTGCACGTCTCTCACCAAAGTGATACCTACAGACTCCAAAAGGTCAAAAGGCAAAGATCGCGCCAAGCAGCGACAAAAATATGTGCAATCTCCAACGAGCTCACCTGGGTGTAAAACGAGCGCTGAACTATATGTCCAGTTTGCGCAATATAAGGGGCAAGATCATCCGAATGAGGGGGGGGAGGGGGTATACCTCAAAAAATGCCAAGTTTGAAAAGGTGGGAATAAGGGGAAATAATGTGCCCCTTTATAGGGGAATGCAAGGTGCCCGCATATAGCCATTCGGATGCCAGGCGCGATCGCATGAAGACCTGCCTGGCGACATCGCCGGGCCCCAGCAACGCGATGGTGGTAGCCTGGCGTGATCCGGAGCCAGGAAGAATCCATAGGTGAAATTGCCCTTCATGTGGATTGCCCTTCATGTGGATTGCCCTTCGTGTGGATTGCCTACAAAATTCACCAGAATTCCTCAAAGAATGCTAAGTCTGGAGCCAGATCCATAGAATTCACCAACCGAGAATACCTTGCAAATTCACCTGGAACCCTCAAATGGGACAGAGCCCACCGCCCTACCCAAAGACACCAGGCCAGCACTCCAATTATTCAACAATTGTTTTATCCCCTCATTCTTCTCACCCATCGTTCTTTTCAAAAGTCGTCCAATTCCCAGAATGTATGGTCATGTGAAAGAAAAATGCAACGATTCTGGGCAAAGGACTATAATACACAAAGCGGAAACAAGGAATCCGAAGGTAAGGGGCCTTCATCATGGATGAGCTTGCTTCTTCCCCGAATCGGTTATCCGAAGGTAAGGTGCCTTATCGGTTGGCTCGTTACACTTTGTGAAGGCAAATGGATGAGGCAAAACGGCAACCAGGTATTTGTCATCTTCCTCAATATCCGGGTCACAGCTACACCCTGAAGTCACCGGGCCCAATCTGGCCTCCCGCAACGCCTGGACTTGCGCTGCAGACAGCGGCCTGGATGCACAAATGCATTGCACCCAGCCAGAAATAGGAGGAATCTCCAACTGCAGTCTTGCGCCACAACTGTCGCTTAGAATTGGGGGGCCCAGCCAGGTTCACTGTCTCATCGCGGCTCTACATTGTGCTCACCCAAACTTGGAGAGGGCACCCTCAATCAAACACGCTCTGGCGGGGCTCCATGTTGGGACTCTTGTCCTCTAAAAGGGGTAGCTGCACCATACCCGGCCTCCGAAAGAGCTGGCCCATCAGCCCCTCCAACCCTGCACTCTTGCCCCACAAGGCCACCAGCTTGTAGCCTGCCCCCCACACCGCGGCCTACCGGCCGCGAGCTGGGAGTCGGGAGTCGGGAGTCGGGAGTCGGGAGTCGGGAGTCGGGAGTCGGGAGTCGGGAGTCGGGAGTCGCATTTCTGCCCCCTGGGTAAATGACTCTAAAAGGTGCGTTGTTTTTCACAAAATCCCCCAAAAGGATAATATACACCTTGTAAAGTTGGTGACCAGGGAACCAAGAGGTATGAACAAGTATGTACTTCTACTCTTAGAGGGGGGGCATGTGGGTGGCCAGTGGCCCTGGCAAAAACAGACGTGCACATGTATAATTCTACACACATTATTATGTTTGAATAAATTTTATGAGGCAGAACAGCGCGTCCCGAAAGAAACTAGACATGTCCCCGTTTCCTTCTACACTCATTACTTCAGAATCTGCGGTCCATCCCCCGAAACTCTGGGGCAGTCAGCTTGTGCCTTGATTACACAAAGACTTTTCCACGCGTCGCTCGCTCAAGCAGAGCTGGCTACGTGTCACTGCGGACACCCAAACCAAGTTTCTTGATGCACGTCTTTTTCAAGAGACAAAAGAGGCAATGAATCTCAAACACAGGTCGCCTTGCCTTGCCTCTGCAACCAGCACAAGCAGTGCACATATGGCTCGACTGTGGCAGCACAACCAAAACGCACTAAAGACCAGCCATCTGGGCCGTTTCATATTAAACTAGCTTGACCAACTCCCGATCCATACTCCCTAGAGGGAAACCGCAACAACTCACAACATGAAAGGCCTGGGTCATCACCCGTAACCCTTCTGGCCATCCAAAAACAAAGATTCAGCCTCGCGCCTGTGAAGTTCTTGGCCACGTTGCTCCACCACGCCTGCCGAGCGACCCAGGCGAATGGCCATCTTGGACGTTTGACTTGCGCAACGTGATGCAACCCGGAGGGCCAGAGGCCAAGAACGGAAAAATGCAGGGAGGCATTTCAACCCCATCCCACTCCTGGTCACAGCCTAGGTTGAATGTTTGAAGTTTGGCTCAACTTCATGTTCAAAGTTGCAGCACCTCCATTAGCCTTCGACAACATGGGAGGGTTGGCCCTTGACCACCAGTTGCCTTTCTATCTGCGATCAAAGTTGCGAAGAGAGTCCAATCAACTTGTTTCATGAGCAAATGCACACACACACACACACCACCTCTGCCTAATACAAGGACCAACTAATTACGCTCCCTGTCAGCATGACTGAGCTTGGTTTCAAATCCCCCACAACAGGATCCCTTATTCTAATGTGCCATCCGCAGTGGGGCGCCACTACTATCTGGCATGAAGATGAAGGATTGTTTTTGAAACAAGTTGGTCCACTCCTTCGGCCTTCGGCCATGAATTGCAATCTGGACCTCCCTCAAAACTGGTTCATGTGCATGACTCTCACCTGAATGATGTCCACAAAAGCCCCCCCAACAAAGACTCATACCCATTTGAAGAACCTGGTCTGCCCGCCGATCTGCTCCGCCTGGTCCACATGGAGACAGCTCCCTACCCCACGCGCGCCCACGAAGGCATGGCCGCGGTCCCACATCGGCAGCTCGCTTCGCGAGTCGGGGCCTGGCTGAAAACTCATACGGTCCTGCATGAACCGTCACTGTTTTCAAGCTGCTCAAGCAGGCTTCCAAGGTTGCATGCATGTGTATTTATGTGTATATATATATATGTAACGTAGAGAGAAAGAAAGAAAGCAAGAAAGAAAGAAAGAAAACTAGACCACGGTTGGCCCGAAAGCAGAACATCGCAAGCGAGGTCGGCCCAACGCTGCAGGATGCGTTCTTTTTCCATACACGAAGCATTCGTGAAGCAAGCGCGAGACAGCACCAGGCAAGGTGCTCTGCGCAAACTGGTCGGTGCAAGTTGGTCTGCGCAAGTTGCTCTACGCAAGTTGCACTGTGCAAGTTGCTCTGCGCAAGTTGCTCCGCGCAAGTTGCTCCGGCAAGTTGGTCCCTGCAAGCGGCTCCCTGCAAGTTGCTCTGTGCAAATTGCTCTGTGCAAGTTGCTCTGCGTAAGTTGCTCTGCGCAAGTTGCTCTAGGCAAGGCGCTCTCCGCAAACTGGTCGGTGCAAGTTGGTCTGCGCAAGTTGCTCTGTGCAACTTGCTCTGCGCAAGTTGCTCTGCGCAAGTTGCTTTAAAATGCAAGTTGCATCTTGCGACGCCCGCCGGTTCCGGGAGCAGGCGCGCGAACCACGAGACAACTCCCGAAGACCAGTTCGAACAACAAAAGTCGCAAAAACCTCGAGTTTTTGCACCTCCACCACGCCGATTCCCGCAGAGGGTTGCGCGAGCACCGCAGAAATCGCAAAAAACCATGGGTTTTTGCACCTCGACCACGCCGATCCCCGCAGAGGGTCGCGCGAGCAGGTTAAACATCGCAAAAAACCATGGTTTTTGCACCTCGACCACGCCGATCCCCGCAGAGGGTCGCGCGAGCAGCGCAGAAATCGCAAAAAACCATGGGTTTTTGCACCTCGACCACGCCGATCCCCGCAGAGGGTCGCGCGAGCAGCGCAGAAATCGCAAAAAAAACCATGGGTTTTTGCACCTCGACCACGCCGATCCCCGCAGAGGGTCGATTTTCGTGTAGTGTCGTCGGCACTACCCCGCCGCCCTAAGAAGAGATTTTAACTCCTCGCAAGTCAATTGCACTTGACTCCTTGCACTTGCAACTTGCACTTGACTCCTTGCTTGTTTCAAGGAGTCATTGCAAGGAGTCATTGCAAGGAGTCATTGCAAGGAGTCATGGCAAGGAGTCATTGCAAGGAGTCATTGCAAGGAGTCATTGCAAGGAGTCATTGCAAGGAGTCATTGCAAGGAGTCATTGCAAGGAGTCATTGCAAGGAGTCATGAGAGCCATTGCAAGTTGCAAGGAGCCAAGTGCATGGAGTCAAGTGCAAGTCGCAAGTGCACGGAGTTAAGTGCAAGTTGCAAGTGCAAGGGGCCAAGTGCAAGGAGCCAAGTGCAAGGAGCCAAGTGCATGGAGTCAAGTGCAAGTTGCAAGTGCATGGAGTCAAGTGCAAGTTGCAAGTGCAAGGAGTCAAGTGCAAGTTGCAAGTGCAAGGAGTCAAGTGCAAGTTGCAATCCTTGCCATGACTCCTTGCAATGACTCCTTGCAATGACTCCTTGCAATGACTCCTTGCAATGACTCCTTGCAATGACTCCTTGCAATGACTCCTTGCAATGACTCCTTGCAATGACTCCTTGCAATGACTCCTTGCAATGACTCCTTGCAATGACTCCTTGCAATGACTCCTTGCAATGACTCCTTGCAATGACTCCTTGCAATGACTCCTTGCAATGACTCCTTGCAATGACTCCTTGCAATGACTCCTTGCAATGACTCCTTGCAATGACTCCTTGCAATGACTTTCATGATGATGATTCCTTGCAATGACACCTTGTAATGACTCTCATGAGAACACCTCAAGTGAACCCAGCGGAAGAACCCTTCGCCATGCTTTCGGGAATAAAGAAAAGAAAGAAAGAAAGAAAGAAAGAAAGAAAGAAAGAAAGAAAGAAACAAAGAAAGAAAGAAAGAAAGTAAGAAAGAAATAAATAAATAAGAAAGAAATAAATAAACAACAAAAATGAAACAAAGAACGATAGACAAACAGAGTAGATTAGACGGGATTGTATTAGATTAGATTCGACAAGATTCGGTTGGATTGGACTACATTAGGCTAGGTTAGGTTAGATAGGATAGATTGATCGATTGATCGATTGATCGATTGATCGATAGATGGATAGATCGATCGATAAATAGATTTGTAGATAGGTATATGATGGGTAATAGATAGCTAGATTAGATTAGAATCGACTAGATTAGACTGGATCAAATTAGATTAGATACATAGATAGACACATGGACAGATACATAGATAGATACATGGATAGATAGATAGATAGATAGATAGAAAAATAGATAGAACATGGCTGAATATCAACAATTCACCAACCAAAAACACAGCAAACATTCCCTTCGAAGGGGACCTTGTCATGGACAAGGTCACAACCACCCTTTGTTGCCTTCAAGCAGGGGTTGTGTTTTTTTCGGTTTCATTTGGAAGCCGTCGCATGGCACCCTCAACCCGTCCCCACCGTCGCTGAAGGTCGCAAAGCCGCAGTCCCGCACCTCAGTTGGACGCGTCAGCATGCCCCGCGATATGACAAACTGAGTCCATTGAATGACAGCCTCCAAATTCGGCTCATTCTGGTCGGCTCATCGGGTTTACGAGGTCAAAAGGGCTTCCTCAAAAGCTGCGTATTCTGGCTGACGGTGAATGAATAGATTCGCCGCAAAATAGGCACGACAGAGATCCCGAACCTGGGGTTCCGGGCGTCGCGGGTGGTGAGAGTCCGAGACGCCTCCCCCGTCAGATGGTGTGGAGTCTTTGCCCCTCGGCTCACCTCCGCCTCGTGTCAAGGCCGAAGAACCCTGGTCTTGAAATCTGGTCGCCAACCAATGTCGACCAAGGGCTTCAAAGGTGAAGGGTAAGAACCTTGAAAAGGGGAAAGCTAAAAACGAGCGCCCGCTTTTCGGCAGGCTGGCCGACAACCTTCAAGACCGTTTCAAAGGGACGGCAGAACCCGGCAGAACACCGCAGAAAGCCCGCCCACAAACAACACCCAAATAACCTGCAAAGGCAGGCTCCCACCTAAGGCCTTGGCCAGGTAGGGCGGCCCCTCCCTTGCCGCGATGACGAGGCGCTGACGCCTCACAAAGTTGAGACAGAAAATCGCGAGTCTTGTGGGCCCATGGTAAACTTCACGGGCGCCATGAACGATTTTTTCTGAAACAACCCTGTCAGTTGGCGGCACAATGTGTTGAGCGTGGCTCGTTTGTGCCATGCTCGTGGTTCAAGTCCTAGGCGCCCTTGCAAGGAAGCGGTCGGGCCCTCGGAAATATCTCCCACTCGGATTTCTGTGGCCCAGGCCCTTCTCCCGCTCTTGCCCTCTGACTATGGCTGTAGCCCTGGCTGGCTACACAAGCCACATCGCTTGCCATTCGACGAGCTGGCAAAATCTGCTTCTTGTCGCCTCGTCGCAGCTGGCGTTCGCTCACAAACTCTGTGTTGAAGCTGGCGCTTGTAGCGGGCCCTCAGGTGACCACGCAGTCGTCAGCTCTAGTTCCTTGTGCTCAAATTTGGCTGAAGCAGCGGCGCTTGGAATGACACCTAGCCCCAGTTCCTTGCCCTTGGGCTGTCCTTCAGTGCCAAGCGAATTTTCACGCAGCTGAGACTTGCACGCATGGGAGGCATGAAAGTCGTTTCTTGCCAGCTGCCCAGCTTCGCAACGCCTGGCACTGGAGTAAGAACGGAGATCAAAGAAAGACTCTAAAGCAAATAGACCCTAGCCGAGGCGGGCAGCTCGAAGCGTTGATAACTACTCGTCCATGACTATCCCTGACAACCCCAAGTAGAGGGGTCTTCTGACCATGGCAAGTGTTACCAAAAACCAATGGAAGCGAATGACCCATGGAAGTTTCACAGCAGCCAACACTTGGGCTTACTTTGTGTTCCTCAAAACAAAACACACACACACACACACAACACACACACACACTTGAGCCGCAATCACAAACTGGTACAAAAGGGGCTCCCCAAACCAAGGTAAAGACGTGTTGAACAACTGCCCCCTACATGGTTCACTCACCTGACTCAACAACAGCCGTTGTTGCAGGGTTGTTCCGAAATTGGTGACACCAGAGGCTTCGGCAATCCTGGAAGAGAATGTTTCGAAGGGCAAATCCATGTGGGGAATCTGAGAATCCCAATCGCAAGTTCAAACGCGCGTTGCCCGGAAAGTGACCCAACGGGACAACCCTCAATCAAGGTGTTGCTGGGGCGGTCCTTTCATCAATCTCCAGGAATCGCCAGGGACTTGCGTCAAACCTAGGGGCTGGTTTCATCCTGGTTGCGTTTCGAAAAGCTTCTTCAAATGGGATCCGGCTTGTTTTGACACAGGCACTTGAGCCGAACCAACAAGTGAAATGCACCTTTTTTTTTGTGAGGATTTACCTACGTGTTCCGCAGAATTGTCCTCTTCGCCTGATTTTGACCCGGCATCGGTGAGCTTGGCATAAATTGCCCAGAGACGCGTTCGCCTCGAGGCTCGGGCAACGTGCCTCCCTTGATCTCCTTCCGATGGTACCAAGATCCTGAAAGTGAAAGCTCGGGAGCAGTCTATGACGATGTCCGGGCCCACCCCCGAAAAACAGGCGTGTACTGGTGATCTCACATTGAGAACCTTTCTGGAGTAGTTACAGGTGCCTCTTTAGACACGTTTCGAACAGCGGCTAAAGCGCCAGTGAGTCCAACACCAGGAATCAAAGGAGAACTGCGGATACAACTAGGTCCTCCAACAAAAAGGTTAGAATGAGGGTACCCTTTTTTTCCCGTAGTCTTTTTTAGTCGGGGAACCCTCCCACAAAAAATGTCAAAGGGCACTACTGGGGGACCTAGACAAAGACGGAACAAGACAGCCGAAACCAAGGGCCGCCTTTGAGAGTGCTGCCACCGCACAAATATGCGAAAAATGGCCAACTCCGACAAGCGGCCATCCACATAAATGCCTCCCACTTACGTCCCCCTTTGGAACACAAAAGAAAAGGAGAAAAACAAAAACGTCTCAATAAGTTGCATTGATGGATGGGAGCAACGCTTGCAAAGGGGGTCTCATCTTGCACCACCTTCTTCTGAGGACTTGAACGCGCGCCTCAACCCCCGTCCTTCACCCTCTTTGCCGGGCCATACAAAGACATCAGCCTCCCAGGAGTCATCCACGACGGCCTCCGCAGTCAGGCGGAAATGCACAGACCCTAGGTATTTGGAGGTCCATCTCACTGAGTCATTGCTTAGATTTGCGGTATTCAAAAACACAAGCTACAAAATCCCCCCAGAGATGGCCTCATCACTCCAACCACATGGTTGTAACACTAGGACCTATAGGAGTACTCTCCAGGGTTCCCTACATTCATTCTTGAAACCTCGCGCCAAAGCAAACTCTTCAAATGAGCAACCAAACAGGATGGTTCAGCCAGAAGAGAACGTATGGTAAGCTTGCCGATTTCGCTTCCAAGTGACGACGCTGAGCAGGCTTATGCAGGCTCCACCTGTGCAGTCTAAATGTCCTCCGTCTAAGGAGTCCTCATGGACCATAGACCGGAAATGTTGACCGACCTTGAGGATCAGTTTCCTTCGACTGTGCATGCCTGGTAGCTGTCCATTTGCTTCGGCACCTACAGAAACTGGTCAGGTGAAACCAAGATGGAACCCTGAAAGCACCCTGAAAAAGACCAAGTTCACTGAGCACAGAGAAATCAGAGGGCCATGTGGGGGTTGTCAAAAAGATAGTGCTTTGTTTGGACCCTGGTGCCGCCGATACGTGCCGTCTTTCAAAGGAGATACCAAAAAAAAGACCCCATTCGAAGAGCGAAGCGCGGTTTGGGGGTAGAGAAGATATATTGCATCAGAAAGCCGTCCCGCAAGGAGCCAGGCTCGAACAAAAAAAAAATGCAAACAATACAAACATACAAACATACAAACATACAAACATACAAACATACATACAACGCAACTAAGTAACTACGTAACTGACTGACTGACTGACTGACCGACTGACTGACTGACAGACCGACTGACTGACTGACTAAACACAGGCAAAGATCTTGGGTTAGCCATCCGAGTCGAGAGGCCTCCAGTGAGGTGTGGCGCTTGCACGCCTCGCGAGCGGAAGCAGCCGACGGGGGACTCGATGCCTGGGTTGCTCCCATTCAAATGGGCAGACAATGGACGGCAGAGGGAAACCAAAGAAGCCAAGGGAAGACAAAGGAAATCAAACCCAATCATCTCTTTGCCGGCCTTTATGCTTTGATCATCGCTGAGTTACTTCACTCATGGAAGTGAACAAGGACAATCCTGCCTCCCATGTTAGTTTCATCGACTGGCTAAGGACAAGCTATGCTTTTGGAGCTCAAGTGGTTTACGCTTCCAAGATTGAAACCATGCGCCAACAGGGTTCCCCGTATTTCCTGGTTAGAGCATCACCCCACCAAAAGAAAAAACCCTCTAAACCCTCAACTGAAGCTTACAAGCACAAAAAGGGAAGCCCTGGCCAAATTAGACCACTCTCCCGGGAAGCCCTGAACACCCAGGCGGTCCTCGGTCAGCGGGAGCGACTCTGCCAGCCCCAGCTTCCGCAGACCGTCCCTCAGCACCACCATCTGGGCCTCCCACCAAAGCGACAGCAACGGGCGCCAAAGAAACCCCCTCTTTCCGTGACCAGATTGGTCGTCAAAATCGGGAGACGGCTGTCCTTGCTTGTGCCCTTGCCGACCAAGTCCGACAAGGGTACCCTTCAAAGAACACAGACACCCACACACACACACACACACACACACACACACACACACACACCCACCCACCCACGCACGCACGCACGCACGCACGCACGCACGCACGCACGCACGCACACACACATAATTCATAGCTTACATGTGGGGCAAAGGGCACAGGCAATGGGGCTGCTGGAGGGGCGATTTTTGGTTCACCCCCCGACACTTTTGGCTCAGCCAGTCGATGCGCATCGGGTCTCCTCCAGAGCGTATCCCTGAAAACATCCCGCAACAAACCAATAGATTGGGTTGGTCGGAACCACACAAGGCCGACTTCGACTAAGGAAATTGATTTCGTGGCCCATCCCAAGAAGCACCTTGTGGTTTTGCCAAATTCACAGCGCTTCTCCCCGTCCAATCAAATTCAAAGATCAGCCTAGGTTTATCACAGAAACATCCTCAAGGGGAAACCACCTCCAAAGGCAAGTTGGCAAAACTCCTTTAATCTGAAGGACTGGCAAGCAACCCAAACAGCCATAACACCCTGCTTTTGCCTTCACTTGGAATCCTGTTCTGCACAAGGTGCAACATAACCCTTTCTGTGAGTGCGTCATTGGCGAAGGGGATTCTCTCGGTACGCTCAAAAGCGAGCGTAAGAGGCCACATTGGCACCACCACAATTCTCTCCTTTTGCAGGGTTGGACCAAACCTTGGTTAGATATGTTGACACCACTCCATGGTTCAATCATATTCCGGTCTGTCCGATCCAAAAAGAGGGTCGTGGCCGGATCGGGCTCCGCCTCGGAGTGGTCCCCGTAGCGCACGAAGGACATGAAGCTCTCCGGGGACTCCACGACCACGGGCCATTTGCAGAAATCCTCCAAAGGTACGGGGTCCGTTTGGGTTCGCTAGGGACAGACCGGGACCCTTCCCCTTTATTTGAACGTTGATGCGTCCTCTTGTTGGGTGCTTTTGTTGAGTCCTTGTGTTGAGACACGTTTCAACAACACCAGGACAATTGGTCTCTCCAAGTGGAGACTGAGCGGCTCTCATGAAGCAGCTAAGCTCACTCTGTTGGCACATTGACTACACACAAGTACACACATGTACACACAAGTCTGGTGTGTCCACTCGCTTGGGTGCGCAAATGCACAGGATGCCTGCATTGAAAATCTCCAGGGCCGCAGGCTGTTTGCAGATAATCGGCACTAGGAGAGTATCTTCGTGTGGACAACACCTCTACATCGCTGGCAACCAGCACTGATCGAGGAGCCGTTGCACCTCGCGTTGCGTGTTCCCCCGTCTTGCCCGGTTCCTGGGTTCCATATACCTCCCCTTAGCACATCACCTCTACCAAACAAATCGCACCATCACGGGCAAAAATGCTGATGTTTAAAGCCACCAAGGGAATATGGAGACCCCTGACTTCTCAACGATCAAATGTCAAGGGCGAACGTGAATGGGGCATTGGCCTGTGTAGCTGAAAGCTCACTTGACCCAAGCAACCAGCCGCGGATCAGATCAGATTCGGCTGATGCGAACGAGCTCAGCGGCTTGCCAACCCCCCCCCCCCATTCTGGCGGCACCGAATGAAAGGGTCAACGGGCGAGCATTGACCCTGAAACAGGCTATCACTCTCCTCGGTGCCCTTCTCTCCCTACCGACGTGTCCTTTGCTTCACCAGTGAGGCTCCAATCCATCATATGAAAAAGTACCTAAAGCTACCCGGGAACACTCGGGAAGCTACATGTCACTCATGTGGGAGGCCCCTCAAAATTGTGGTTTTCCTTTTGGTTTTCCTTTAAAACCACAAACAAAGTTAGGGTACCCTCGAAAAAAGACACACAAGCACCCACATATATTCTTGGCTAAGAGGCTTTCGGCTCGGAGCGAGCCTCCACGGCCTCGCGCGGCCAACCGCTGCATTCCGCAGCCTGGCAGTCGAAGAGCGACTTGGGGCTGGGCCAAAAACAACTTGAAACTCAGCTTCCCTCTAATTGGTGGTTTGGTTTGGTGGTTTGGACGTTGAGGGGGAACTTCTCCATTTGGTTAAGACACTGGAGTCACCGCACCAAAAGGAGACTCAATCAGAAGTGGCAACCAAAAGGTGATGTCTGAACCGCTACCCCACCCGGAAAGGCACATGCAAGGACCCCTGCGCGTCTTGAAATTCCAAGGCCATGAGTTCGACACCATCTCGGAAATGCGACTCATTGGATGCTGCAATGCTATCCACAAAGTGCGAACAGCCCCGGTCAAGACTACGAGGGTTTCCCCAAGACACGCAAAAAAAAGTGAGTCGTCTCCTGATTTTATGGCGAATCTTAGAACTTGTCCCCGACTTGTTCCCCTCATGTCCCTCTCAAACGGACATGTTGGCCGAACCTGGCACAATCAGGCGTTCAAACACGGGGCAAGTGTAGCTCCATGCCCGCTCCCTTGAAACGGCATACATGCAGAGCGTGGAACCCAAAAACCCCTCGGTGGGAATTCCCCTCGGGAAGCCCTCTTTGGTTTTTGTGTGAACTTGCAGGGGAATATCTGGGTAAACTACTATCAGTCACAGACCTAGAAATAAGGAATCCCCGAGTGAAGTCACCATGAGAAAGCTCTATTTGCCCTTCTGATCGAAATTTGCCCAGCGGATACCTAGAAATGATTCTGCGCACAAAGACAATACCATAAGAGTGGTTCAAAGACCCCATGTGCCCATCTCAAATCGTATGAGCCGAGCCGGGCCGATCGGCCTCCGCCAGAGACAGCTGGGTCTCTGCCTGGCGAAACGGGGTCCCAACCTTTCACGGAAACCGGCGGGCTCGAACATGGGCCTGTCCACAGCACTTGGAATTATTCACAGTTGAAAGGGTCTCTCACAAAGGCGAGTCCTCTCCAGGTTGGCTTTCTGGCTTGTTACTGACGCACGCGGATTTGGCATATGAGCTGGTGTTCACCCCAGTTGAGCTCACCATATGACCAAGCTGATGTCAATTCTGAATTCTTCCGAATGACCACCTCTGACGGCTTCAAATGTCCCCCGAAGAAACAACCTGGTAGACAAGTCGGGGGTGCCTCAAAAGGGGCCCAGATTTCTCTCAATGGGTTCACGTCCATCCCAACCGAGCCCACATCACCTGGGTGGCTTTATCGTTTACGTGCCCAGGCAAACTTGTGACTCATCCGTGCCATGGTCACACCTCTGAATGGCCATGGGCTTTCCTTGAAGAGGAACCTTTACATTGGTTGTCCAAACTTCCTATTCAGGGGCTCCATGACTATCCCCCCGTCCATAAAGGGCCCGACTCTATTCGTCGAGGCCTAGTTCCGAATTGCAACGTGCATCAAACACTGTGGACCGCGTGGCGGTGGCCGAGCTCGATAAAGAAGGGGGGGGTGGAGAGCAGAAACCAACCAAGCCCCCAAAAAATCCAAAAGACAACAAGCCCCCGTCTATGACTATCCCTGCCAATCCCGAGAGGGGATCTGAGATCCGGAGCGCAGCGATCCTACACCCATCCGGCCTGGGCCGGCATCTGGGCGCTGCCATGGGTGCGTCAACGCATGCTCTGCATGTTGGAGTGGGGGGAGGGTCGGGATTGGTTTGCGCACAGAGAATTTGGTGTGCTTCCTAACCAAAACATCGCAAGTTCAGGAGGCTGTGGTGGGTTTAGAAACAGGTCGGGCTCGCAACTAAAGACATGCGATTGCGGCTACAAATGCCACCAGGAGCTCTGGTTGAAGCTGTCGCTCTGTAGTCTGGCTGAATTGTATCTTTCTGGGTTAATTAGACTGGCTCAAAGAGATCCGTAGAAGCAACACTGCCAAAATGGCCTACTTCCCACAAAGACAATTCGATGGCCCCCATGGAATTTTGGGTGAAGCCCGCTGTCACCAATCTGACGAGACAAAGCGGGCGCTGGAGGTCTCGAAGCCCAGAGTTTCGGACCAACGGCGCCGGGGCTCGCAGATGCTTCACCTGATGCCCCGACTGCGTAAGAAGCTACTCCCGGAGCGTCTCATGGAACAAGCTGCCTTCCCAATGGTAAACCATGCACTCTGGCCCTTTAGCAACCGTAACCTCACAGGCAAAGAACAAAGCTGGGCAAGATGCCCTCAACATGTTTGTCCAGTCTCCCTGGCCTTTTCCCTACATCCTCAATACTGTGGATGGACGAAATCCTGCAGCACTGCACCACTTTAAAACCACGAGAAACCACTGTTTGTTGGTATTTACAGGGGAATCATCATTCTATGGTTTCTCAGGTGATGCGAAATGGATTTCGTCCATCCACACTATCATTCGCAAAGACGCGCGCGCAGCGTGCCCCAAGCGGCGCCTTTTTCTCCTCGGCGTCTGCGCTCGCCTCGCGCGAAGGCGCCTCGCCCTGGCAAAGGGCCACGGAGGTCACCCCGCCGCAGACGTCGAGGACGCCGTTGGGGGCGCCCAGGCCCGGCCAGGTCCAGTCCTCCAGGAGCTGGTGCTGCAACCAGCGTCTTTTTTCCGAGGATAACCCCCTTTTTCACCGTGTTTTAAAGGGAAACCAACAGTAGACCAGCAACCTGGGCGCCCTTGTTTTGTGAGACAAACCCAAAGATGAGAAAATGGTTGAACCAATCTCCTTCTTGGTTTCCTTTAAGGGAGGTGTTGTTGTTTGGACCATTCCCGCCCAAGCGCTCCTCCGGCACTGGGGCCTCCACAACGCACTTCTGGGCGCCGTCCTCTGCAGCCAACCCCCCCCCCAAAACAAAAAAGGCAGAATCACGGGCGGATAATAATCAGCTGAAAACAGGCTTATGCAAAACGGCTTATGCAAAACGGCTTATGCAAAACGGCTTATGCAAAATGACTTCTGTACATGGCTTACGTATGCAAAGTGGAACTTGCTTGGGGGGAAGTAGATGTCACTGTTGCTTCATCATCATTCGAGACTTACCGGCAAACCGACAGAAACAGAATGCCTTGCAAGCTGACCCGCTTCCGCCAGCTGACTGCGCTCCTGGTACACGGACACCCGAAGCTTGTCCTCCTGGCCCCAACTTCGGTCGGTTGACTAAAGAACCCCTCTTTCTCACAGACTTTTCGGGTTGGATTCTGAGAGGGAACCCAGAAGCGACTAAGGAAACATGTGGGGCCAAACAAAGATCCACCGTTGAGTAGTTGAGCCATGGTCACGACATGTTCATCGTAAGCCTCCAGTTGCCCCGTGACCTAGAAAAAGGGCCCTTTTCAGGTTGACCGTCTTGGGACAGCCAACCAACAATAAGGGAGGAGGGTTCCGTAGTTAATCGAGGGATGAGGGTGGAATTGACGGAACTTCAGCGTTTGAGGCCAAGGTTGGCGCCCTTCAGTGCTATTCAACTTGGCGGAGCGTAGACTTGTCCGCCAAAGAAGCGATCCGGATCCCCTCTGAAATGGGCCTCTGGCGCCATCAACAATCAGGGAGCTGTAAATCAACCTGGGTTCCCATTGGACGCCACAGGGACCCCGGAAAAAGGACGCCTTTTGAGTAAATCGCCCTACAGCGGTTTTCTGTGTTGGATGGTCCAGCTAAAGACTCAAAAAACATATAAAACCAACTAGGTACATCCGCTGGAGGGACCAATGTAAAGGTTCCTATTCAGGGGGCGTCCCTGAACATATCAAGGGAGGTTTAACACACAGTAGGTAAATTGGTGAATGTCACTTGAAAGGGGGTGGCCTTGGTATAACAGAAATTGGTCCTAGAACCTACTTTTAAAATAGGAAATCTGTTCTGGATGTATGATCAACCTAAACAAGGGCACGTTAAACAGGTAAGTAAGACTTCCTATTGAGGGGCTTTGCGCGACAGTAGCTCTGTTTACTGGATGGTCAGCCTAAAACCGGGTACTGTCAGAAAGTAACTCTGTTTGCTGGATGGTTAGCGTAAAACCGGGTACTGTCGGAAAAAGAGGAAAACGACAAGACCCACTAGGTACATCCAAGAAACGATAACCACCAAGGAGCCGATTAAAGGGTACCTGCTGCATGATTTGGAGTATTCGGGGGGATCTTTTGCAACCCCCACCAGGTGAACAACATGGGTTCTTTGCTTGGTTGCTGTTGACCCCTCTGCAAAAAGTCTAACTTGTTGTGGGTTTAGTGGAAACCCCCTCGATTTCCCAAAAAGTTAAAGTCTAAAGATCCAACCCAATAGCAATCAAGTTTGAGTCCATCCAAGGATTCCCTAAGAAAAACCCTTTGGGCTCGGCTCTCGGGTAGCCTCGGGTGGCAAAATTGGCGGGTGCCAGTGCCTCCATGTCCAGTGCCAGGCCCAGCACGGTGCCCAAGGCGCACTCCAGCAGCGGGCGCCAGCTCAGCTTGGCAATCTCCTGGAAATGAAAGCCGCGGAAAATAATAATAATCCGCCAAACGGTTTAAGATCTCTACCCATTCATAGGAGAAAAAATAACAATGACATAGAAAACATCACAATGACAAATCATGTATCAAAAATCACCATAACAAATCATCTCTACCCATTCATCGAAAACCGCAACGACGAATCAAGGCAACCTATGGAAGGTCGACCAAAGGACCAGGATCTGCTAACCCAAGCCGTGATCCAAGGATTGAGCAAGGGCTTCGATGCCCTTTGGATCAGCGGGTCCCGGTTTCGGTCTGGTTGATTGGAAACCACACTGACCCCCAAAACAAGGCAAGCTATGGCAGCTATGGTAGGAAGATCTTGGGTAGACACTGGTTCAAACGCCCCTAGAATGATGGCTGAAACGAATTGGACATCCATCTGTATTCTCAACCCGGAAAGCGAAGCTCGTGGTGTAAATCGAGGCTCGAACCAAACAGAAACCAGCGGAACCCATCTATTGAAAACCACACAGATCTCAAGAGGGCATTCCATGATAGAAGCCCTTGCTCAAACCTTGGAGTTTCAACGCCCCTTTGTTTAAACAACCTCCTGGTGTTAGACTCGATACATGCCTTACTGAGAGAAGGAACCAGTTGTCCATGGTTTAAACAGACTTTCTTAATGGTCCTTTAAGACAGTCTACCAAACACCTCCAGTCAGGTTCCATGTGGCAGCTTGAGTTCAACACTATTGTTGTCAACCGCCTCATTTTGGTTTCCCATTCAAGGGTAACCTCAGCAATACACACCTAACGCAAGCGTAAAAGCCGAATGAGCCCCGCAGGACAGGACAGGTCTTGAAACCAATTTGGTCTTGCGTTGAAATTGGGGGGACCAAAAAAAAAGGTGGTTCCCGTTGGTTTTCCTGTAAAACCATCCAACGTGCACCTGAAGAAAAAAACTGTTGCCGCCAACGTCTCCTTCCCACCGAGGTACGCCTTCGGGGGGTCGCCCCCCAGAATCAGCGACCTGCGCTCGATCGAGGCTTAGGGAGGGACCCTCTTTGGCGCAAAACTCGATGGCTCCTGTTCTTGCTGGTGCTCAGCGGGGAATGAGAAATGGAATGACCCTTATAGACCATCCCTTGTGGTTTCCGTTAAGGGGACCCAGGGTTCATTCCCACATTCCCGACTGGGCACCAGGTTGGACCCTTTTAGAAGTGGCGAAATCAAGGGTGCACTGAAGAATTGCCAATCAAACAAGACCTAGGACATATAGGGTGGCAAACACAGCCACTGGCGATGACCAGTCAAACAGAAACAACTAAACAGTGGCAACACATGTTCCGTCAGTATCGAATGATCCTTTCCG